TCGTTGTCCTGCACAGCTCCACACAGGCAGCCCTTCACAGGCTGTGGCTTTTATTTTATTGTTTCTTCGCCCTCCTGGCCAGCCCACCTTCCTCTAACGCCTGTCAGCTAGGTCGGTGATTCTTCATTGTCCTGCACAGCTCCACACAGGCAGCCTTCACAGGCTGTGGCTTTTATTTTATTGTTTCTTTGGTTAACCCTGTATAATGTCCCATGGGCACAGAGCCTGGCACACCATGGGCACTCGGGAAATGGTGTTTGAATGAACAAGTGAGCAGGTGGCTGTAAGTTTAGATGTTCACTATGGAAGCTGCAGGAGATGCCTCTTACCAGACGGGTCGGCAGATGTCCTGCTCCAGAGCAGGAGTCACTCTGTCTCAGGATTCCTTGGTGACTGTCACCAGGTTTGGTGCCTCAGATCATTTGGTGCCTTGAGGTATTTTCCAGTCCCTCACTGTGCCCAAGGCAGGCAAAGCTGTCACCTGGAGGACACTGGCCATTTCCCTAAGCTGCTCTAATGGGGTCACCTCGTCCATAGCAAGGTGTGGACACAATAGAGAGTTATTTTTAGTGCTGTTTTTGTAGGCGAGACCGAAGGAGCCTATCTGGCGAAGAGCATGCTTGGGAGGAGAACTTAGGATTAGGAGACCTGGGCTCTACTGATTTCTCACTGCTGTTGTGAAAACTAAGCATATATGAATATGCAACAATACCCAGAGCACAGAATTAGACATGCCCTTGCTTGGAGCCTCATGAGGCCAACGTAGACAGCCGCTCACACCGCTAAGGACACCAGGCCGCTGTCCTTGATCTGAAGGTGGATTTGTTCTTAGAGTCCTTGGCAGGGATGAGATCCCATGAGCGTGGCCAGGCGGTTTGGGGTAGGGACTGCTCCTGGGGCAGGGAGAAGCCAGCTGCTTCAGCCTTTGACCTTGGCCTTTCCTGGTCCCGGCTTGGCTTGTAGAGCTCCATGACTCACACCTCTGTCGAGAGGAGGCCAGGAAGCGGTGCAGAGAACTCCAGCACGCCGAGCCCATCCACCTCTCTGGTTTCCCTGAGGCACGGCCTGTCGAGTCCGGGGAGATAGAAGCTGTGGCTAGCCAGGAAGGAGGAAAGGAGAGTGGGGAGAACATGGACGTGAAGTGTGTTCTGGCCAACACGTCGAGTGAAGGACCCCGGGCAGAGAAGAGCGAGTCTTAGGGACAGATTTCCACGTCAGTCCCCTGACCCGATTCAGTGCCCGGGAATCGTCTGCTCTCCTGTCGTAGTCCACACTCTGGCCTCCATCCCAGCCCAGCTGGCCGGGCCACCCAGGGCCTTGCTTCTTTCCCGCAGGCCCCGGGGTGCAGCTGCCAACCTCAGGCTCCCACCCTTCTGGGTTCATCCATCAGGACCGGTGTGCAGATGGGGCAGAGAATTTTACTTTTTTACATTTCTGATGTTTCGGCAGAAACACAGCGATTTTTCTGTATAAAAGGTAACAAAAATAGCAGGCTCGAGTGAGTGAAAAGCAAGCTATGTATTCTCTTTCTTGAGTCCAGCTCACTGTCCTCATGTTAGTATTTGGGGGAACATTCATAACTTTTGAGATAATTGCCCCCAAAGACAGCAGTTGCTGCCTCCCTGCTGCCCGCTGGTGCCCCATCAGAGGCGGGGCTGGGCTGCAGGGACCGCAGGACTGGGACACCCAGGATGCGTCTTCTGTAGTCTGCGAACCTGTGACAAAGTATTGGCATCAGTGAAGCGCATGCCCCCTGCCTGCCCTTGACCATCCTCCCGCCCACTGCACATCATCACTGCCCGAGCACTTCAGCCAGCGGGGAAAGCCTATGTCCAACCCATTGGTACAACTCATTTAGTGGAAAAGAAAGGGCTGTGGCCCAGTGGAACTGCCAGTGGCACATTTGGACCACTGGAGCTTCCAGGATGGAGCTGAGTGGAGGCAACTACCTGCCAGCATCACGGTGTAGCCACAGCTCTGGGTTCCAGTCCAGCCGTCACTCTCCCTCCCACTCCCAACACCCCGTCGACTCACAGATGTGACGGGCACCATGCTGCAGTGCCCTGAGCAGGGTCCACATCGGCCTTCCCTGCCGAGAACTCCCGGAGGGTGGTGGCTCGGGTTACCTATCTTCGTATCTGGATGACCTAGTCCAGTGTCCCACCCAGAGGGGGCGCCCAGTCGGTGCTGGAGGAAGAGAACTCAGCTGGTTAGTGGAATGCGCAGTGGCTGGCGATGATGACCTCCTGGTCTGTCTTCCCAACCCGTTTCTTTAATTTTCTGGTTGTAAAGTCAGAAGAATGAGGGACAATAAGACAGCTTTCATTTCTGGCAATGGACATCTCCGATTGTGTTTCTGAGGAGTTCGGATCGTCCTTTGTGCCAGGTTGCTCACTGTCTGCCTACCGTGGAACACGGACACATGGGTCCAACATCCTCTTTTACCGCTTGGAAAACAGGCCACCGTCACACACTCACTCACTCTTCCCCTTCATTCATTCATCCATTTATTCATTATTCCTTTAATAAATACTCATCTGGTACTTACTGTGTTCCAGGCACTGGACTAGCCCTGCTGGTAGGCATCTAGTAGCATCATCTTTGTATTCCAAGAACAAGCCATCATTCCTTGGCTGCCCGGGGGGAAGAAAGGGGTTGGTCATGGCCATACTCTGCCCTAGATTTTGCAGCTGGGGGCACAGAGGCAGACTGACTTTCATTTGCTTACATAATCCCTGGACGCGATCAGAGCCAGGGCTGCTGAGTACAGCCGCACAGGCTGCACACTGCACAACTCAGGGAAGTAAGTCCTGCATCGGGCTCCAGAAAAAGTCACCAGCTGCCATTTGCTTAAGCCATCAGGCTGGGCGGCTTGCTCAGATCCCACTGGGATGTGTTACAACTCCATCAGCAAGTGGTACCAGTGCAGCTGCTAAACTGGAAAGCCGGTTCTTTGCTGGTATCGTCTCTGTCTAGTGTTGGCAAGCCCACAGCCGCTTCAGTGAAGGAGACCCCCTCCTCCCTTGGACTCAGTGTCCAGAGCGCATCCCCTGCTTCTCCTCCAGCCCCCGTGTGGAGAATGCAGAACGCTGACTGCCTTCTGTGCCCCAAAGCTTTCTCTCTACGACCCCTAGCCCCCCATGCAGCCTCCGACTTAATGGCCCTGTCACCATTCACTAGGCAAGAAGGGGAGACCCAAGAGGCTCCATCTTATGACTGGGATAAAGCATCGAAAATCCGTGCATGATACATCCATACATATCTACACAGAATTTTAAAACCCATAACAGAAAACAGATCACAACAACAACAAACAAAACACTAGGGACCAGGTGCCCCTGTGGGGCATTTCCCCTTTGGCTCACCACCCCGCCTGCCTTGAGGCCGTAATCTCCACGACCAGTCCCAGCCCTGTCGTCAATAGCACTAAGTAATGGGGGGTCCCCGGAGGCCTATTGAGGCTCCTCTGCTCCAGCGAACACGCGCGGCTTCCTTATGTTTTCATTCCGGGGATGGCCGGATGCTACAGGAAGCTCTAAACCAGGCAGCAGGCGAGCCTGGGAACTGGAGCCAGGGGCTCGGATGCTAGGAGCACGTCTTCTCCTTCTAAGGGCAGGCAGCCCCCTGCCTGGGCCTCTTTCTCCTCAGCACTGACCATGCCAAGTGCACATGTCAGCAAGGGATCGGCGCTCTCCGTGCCACAAATGTGGCTGGTCGTGGAGCCGCAGCTCAGCCTTGACCGGAGGGAAACGGAGGGAGGGAATCTGAAACGTGTCTCTGTGGGCCATAGGAAAATCCACGGCGGGGTCAGGCAAGGACGGCGGGTGACTCCTTCCAGCTCCTAACCGTACTCTGCAAACCCTAGCGCTCTGCACGGCTCACAAGCATCGGCATCCGTGAGGTGTGGAGGGCAGTCGTGGCTCTGCCTGAAAACCAGATGCCTCGCTTCCTGGCTGGAACGCATGTGGCATTGGAATATAAAAGCCTGTTTTCCTTTCTGGTGTGTGCACGTGCGGGTGCGTGCGTGCACATGTGCGAGAGCTGGTGTGTATCTGGCATGCACCTGGGTCCCCATGCGCGTACTTTTCAAGACTGGAATGTGCACTCTGCGTCTCCACGCTGCTGGGGATTCGGTTGATGAGAAATCATGCACATGTGCGAGAGCCGGTGTGTATCTGGCATGCACCTGGGTCCCCATGCACGTACTTTTCAAGACTGGAATGTGCACTCTCCACGCTGCTGGGGATTCGGTTGATGAGAAATAGTCTTCGATTTGCCCATGTGGGATCCATCAGCGAGCCGTGTGTTGTAAGTGTCTGGGCCCACGAGGAGAATGTGGGGAAGTAAGTATATACCTATAGCGTCAACTAATTAGGTGCTGGATAGATCCCGAAGGTGCCATTTTCCGCATCAGCTTTGTGGGACGGGGCTGTTCCTGGCATGAGAACGGGTCTTGCTGATCTCTCCACACACTTTCACCCAGTCTCTCTGCCAAGAGCGACCCACCTGCTGGTGTTTGGGTGCAGGACACACTCCTGGAACAGACACAGGGTGCACAGTGACCGTACCTGCAGCTTTGGTCTCGTTAGCTCCAAGGCCTTACCGTCAAGTAAACGAGGGTGTGACATTATGGTGCCACTTTGCATCTACTTAGCGCTTTCTTACGTGCTTCTGCCTGCCTCGTGCCTTCAGCCGACATTTACGAAGCATCTACTTCTTGCAGATGTGGCCACTCACCGAGAACAGGTGGGCAGGGGAGGACAGGTGATGTTATTCCCATTTCTGTCACATGGTTTGTTGCGATGAGAACCTGAACTAGAACTCAGGACCCCTTTGCACTAAAGGCTTCTGCACCCCCTCCTCAGGGAGTGTCTGCAAGCACTTGTCTGTCTACGGATATCCCTTGAGGTGGCGCTGTGTAGGTGCCCACACAGGGGTTCTGAAGATCCCCCCAGGGGGGGCCCGAGGGCCTCTCTGAGCTGCCACTGCTCTTCCCACAGAGTGGCGACAAGGAAGCGGGGCGAGGATGATCCTACAGGACGAAGACATCACCACCAAGATTGAGAATGACTGGAAGAGACTGAACACCCTGGCCCATTACCAGGTGAGGTGACTGGGGACGGGAGGCGGGGCTAGCTCACTGAGCAGCCAGTTCCCTTCGGGTCTCAGTCCTTGACTAACAGCCCCCTCCCCCGCCCCATGAGGCTAGACACCGAGCCCTAACTCCACTTCTTCAGTAGCACCTCATGTTCCCTTAGGGTTCCAGGGGAAATGGATGTCCTTAGCCAGGAAACCTTCACCTCCTTGCAGATAGGATGCCGACGGGCACCTTCCTGCAGAATGCGGGCAGAGTCTCCGAGAGAAACAGTCTCCTATTTCTCCACGTGGAATCCGCTAGCAAACCCGTGTGTTGTAGGTGTCCGGGCCCTTTCTTGGAAGGCCATTTCTTGGGAGACCATGACATTGAAGGCTGGGTGCTCCCTGAGGAAGCATCGGGAGAGAGGGTGCTAGTGAGGAGCCCCAACCAGAGTCTCTCCGAGAGCGAGCCACGACACAGAATACTTACTGCTCAGTGTCGGATCTGTCTCGTTTCATTCGAAGGAAAGCCAACAGCCTCCCAAGGCCCCGAGCTCTTCGCCGAGGCACTGATGGCCACTGAGGACCAAGTGAATCCTGGTTTGTCCTCATCTCCTGGGTGGCAGCGTTTCTGTACCCAGGTCTTTATCAGCCTTTTTCCTATAGGTGCCAGATGGTTCTGTGGTGGCTTTAGTGTCCAAGCAGGTGACAGCCTATAATGCAGTGAACAACTCCACAGTCTCGAGGACCTCTGCCAGTAAATATGGTGAGTTCATTGAATCATCCTGGGGAGGAGAGGGTGCCCTGAGCAGCACCACTGGAAGGCCCTGGACCCCTGGGGCGGGGAGTAGGGGGCCGTCGGGCAGGCTGCCCATCAGAAGAGAGAGCAGGACTAGGAAGGAGGCTCCTGGCTCCCAGTGGGAACCCTCATGCAGGAGCAGAATCTTCATCCCCCGAGAACAGGAAGAAAATCTAACCTTTGTAGACATCTTACAGGCTAGAAGATGCTTTCGCTTTGTGATATTCATTAACGTGCATCGTGTTCATAACAATCCAGTGAATTAAATCATTATTACTTCCCGCTATTATACAGATTAGCAAATTATAACTCAGAGATGCAGAGGCCGCACACCGTGTAAAGGTCACACTGATGGAGCATTCGAGGGAGGGGGCAGGCTCCGGGTCCGCGGCGCAGGGGCAGGGCGCTGGGTGTGGGCTGGGAGCCCGGGCGCCGCCCTGTTCTGCCACCCTCTGGGTACCGGGGGGCCAGCTGCCTGACCACTATGAGACCTGGCTTTCGTACCAGCAAAACAGGGATTGAAAATACTACCGATGTCATGGGATCATCACATAAAATAAAAAGAAGAAAACAGAGGACAGTACCTGCACCTAGTAGGACCTTCCTCTTCTTTTCTGCTCAACACTCATCTCACCAGACCTCACATTTCAGCCAAGAGCGGGGAAGAATTGGCCCAGGCCAGAGGGGAGGGTGCAGGGGAGCAGGTGACAAGACGATTACTCAGCTGGTGCAGAGTCATTAAGGGAGACAGGCTACCTGCTCTTAACGTTCGTACCTAATTGGCTACACAACACATCCTGAGACACGAGAACTCTTACAAGGAAAAGTGTAGCAAAGGACAAGCTTATGTTTTTACAAATTGAATAATTAAGGGCTGGCAAGATGCAAGTCCAGGAGGGAAGGGAACTGGGTAGGGGGAAGCAGCAACAGAGTGTCCCGGGGGGGGGCGGGAAAGGCACCCCGGTTTCAAGGAATGAACTAAATTGAGGCAAGGCGGCAGCGGCAGGAAGGATCAGACAGACGCTGGCCGCGGCCGGAGTGGGGGTGTGGCGGGGGGACGCAGCCGGAAGGCTGAGCGGCCTCACGCGCCTGGGCCCGTTGCATTGGCAGAAAACATGATCAGATACACGGGCAGTCCCGACAGCCTCCGCTCACGCACGCCCATGATCACCCCCGACCTGGAGAGCGGAGTCAAGATGTGGCACCTGGTGAAGAACCACGAGCACGGAGACCAGAAGGAGGGCGACCGGGGGAGCAAGATGGTGTCTGAAATCTACTTGACACGACTGCTGGCCACTAAGGTACCGGACTTCAGACAGGGCCTGGGACCCGGGAAGGGCCTCCGCCGCCCCACAGAGACGCCCGAGCTGGCAAAGACCTCATTCAAGCTATTATCCCCACGTGACAGGCACCGCTCATCAGCCTGGGACTCTTTCTCAGGACAGAACCTCAGAATCCTTCTCAACCCAGTGCTCTGGGCAAACGACCCACACCCCAGCGCGGGCGTGCAGTCTGAAGTTTTGTTCCCACCCCTTCCCTGTGCCCTTTCTCAAATGTAGAGACACCAGCCACTTCTGATCATGTTCTTCCACCGTCCTTGTGAAAGCATGGCTCCTCTGAGGCGGGGGAGGTGGGGGCGCGGTTCATATACAATCTCTAGTGATGGAAACTGGGGCTCCATCAGTGACTTTCCGGGCACCGTCTCTAAGCCTGGTCCTTGGGCCCTTCTGTGCCTACAGTTAGTTTTTCACTCCTGAGGCTGGCCTCGGCCCGCTCGCTGCAGAGCCAAATGGGTAACTGTTCATTAGCCGGAGTGAATAATACCGAAACAAAACCAGCAGATTGTGTTTGTCTGCTCTGACCGAGTGAGTTGTTCATTAGCATTTGTGAAAAGTGCTAAAATAACACCGCCAAAGGGTGTGAAACCAAACCATGTTGTTGGCAGAGGAAGGCTCACTTAGGTCCAGTCGGCCGTGGTGTATCTATCTATTTCCCACGTGCAGAGGAAATTTAAAGCTGTTAGAGACAGATGAAGGGGTGCGGGAGAGCTAATACACGCACTTACCCGGTTTCGCCCGGGCCGGCCCAGCTGTACACACACCATCCTCCCTTCCCCGATCCGATAGGCAGATTTTGATAACCCAACCTCAGAGCTCCCTGGGCAGAGCCGTGTGTGAACTTGTGCCGCCTCCTGCCCCAGGGCACGCTGCAGAAGTTCGTGGACGACCTCTTTGAGACCATCTTCAGCACGGCACACCGTGGCTCTGCCCTGCCCCTGGCCATCAAGTACATGTTCGACTTCCTGGACGAGCAGGCTGACAAGCACGGCATTCACGACCCGCACGTCCGCCACACCTGGAAGAGCAACTGGTGAGTGAAGGGAGAGCGGAGGCCACGCTGGGGGTGCCCAGGCCCGTCCACGGTGGGCCGTCCAGGCCGTCGTGAGCGGAAGGCCGGGCCCTGGGTGAGGCTCTCTCTCCGGGGCCCCCCACCCTCTCCCACTATTTCCCCGCTCATTTCCTCTCTCACTTCCGACTAGTCAATCATCCTTCTTTTCTAGCAATCAATCGATTAGTTAACACACATTTATTTAACCAAGTAATGAGCAAAAAAATAATAACCTGCCAAGTATCGCGGCTAGGACACTGTCACGGCTAGGTACCGCCGGACTTTATGCTAAGCGCTGAGTGCACAGAGACCATCAGGCACGGGTCCTGCCCTCAGTGGGCTGACAGACGCAGGTGAGAGACGAGAAGGCAGCCGTGTGGCTGGATTACAGAGGGGCGGCTGTGACAGTGAATCTTGAGCACATCCTGGCGTCGTCCAGGGGAACAGGGGTATTTCTGTCCTATTCAAGAAGCCATGGCCTTCCCTTCCCACAAACTCCTTTTCCAGTTCCCCACGGGGAAGAGGCCTTCCCGTAACTACTTCGTCTGTCTTCGAGACAACAGGATTCTCTAAGTCCTAAGTGACACTCTAGGTGTCTCCGTTATGGTCCCTCTCGCCTCTAACATGTATCATCCCTTCCTTTGGTCTGTGAGTAATTCGTGTTTCAGGTCGAGAGGGCAAGGTCAGGCATCGGTATGCAGCACCTGGTATCAAACCTCGCACAAAGCCAGGACTCGATACATATTAATGAGGGTGCAGGGCCAAGATGCTCTCTACCTGTGAGTTCTGTCTACCTTGGGCAAAGCTGGTTAACCTTTAGCCTCGTCAGTTCCAGAACTGCCTCCCTGTTGCTTTTAAGTGGTTCCTGTCCCAGGTGGTTCTTCCCCAGAACAGTCTTCCAAGGCAGCACGAGCCTGCTGCCCAGCACCTGCCAACCGCTAGGACTGGCATGGCGCAAAGGCATAGCCGGGCACCCCGACAACCAGCCTGGAGCCCCGGACCACAGCTCAGACGAAGGCGGAAGTCGGCCTGCAGTGCTAAAGCTTTATTCAATGTAGTATGCTCTGTCTTCTCATCTCCTTCACCTGAAAAATAGTGTCGTCTCTACTGAAATTGAAAACTCAGACAAGAACAGAGGTGTGGACCACAGAACTGGAGAGAGGGGTTTACCCCCGCATTAATCCTTGGCGAGAGGAGATCTTCCATCACACAGGTTTTCCGGCCTTTCTGAAATAAGACTCTTAGAACCTGGATTCTTCCTTCAGCGCAGCAACCCTGGGTGAAGGCTACTCCCTCCTCTCTCTGAAAGGCCTGCCAGGTGTGCTGTCTCCCGGGGCCTGCCTCCAGGCAAGTCTGTTTAGCAACCTTAGGCAGAGCCGTTCCCAGGGCGCGTCCCCAGCCTACTGCGATTGCTTCTCTCTGCCAGTGAGCCTTCCTCCTCACCACCCCGTCGGAATGTCAGCAGTCTCCAGAATACTACAAATGCCCTGTCCAGAACATCTCTTGGTCCTTGCTGGGGAGAGCTGGTATTCCCAAAACATCCCTACGTGCCCTCATAGTGCCTTCCGGGTAGATCACCTGAAATAGCATCCGAACCGTGTGTTTTCAACCCGTACTTCCTACTGTGTTAAGGCCACCTCCAAAGATGCCATAATGTCCTTGGGGTGGGGGCAGAACCTCCCTTTGGGCCAGCTCTTCGAAGCGTTCAGATACTCAGTTCACAAAGTCTGGTCTCTATTCAGGGAAGCTGGTCAGTAGACAGCGTTACCCACCCAGGGTCTTTTACCAAAGGGTGCGTGTGCTCCTGACCATCGCCATTGCCACGTGGGCAAGAAGCCGTTACTCTGGGAATTATGAGATTTGCATACTGACTTAGAGTTAATTGTCCCTGATTGAAAAGAGATCGTTCCTTTATTCCCAGGCCAAAGTTGTAACTCACCCCCTCCCCACCGACTTCCTCCACATTTCCCTACCTTCACTCTTTTAAATAAACCTCCTGCTCATTTAGCCTGAGTGGCTGCAATCAACCAGAGATTAGTACCACCACTAATGTTAATAATATGCTAATATTTCATTAGGCAGGAGACTCGGTGAGGTGCCCTGGCTTCCCTGTTTGATTTGCACAACTGGCTTAAGGAGAGGGAGTGTTGAGGAGAAATAACCATGCAGCAAATATGGACTCCTAGAGTCTCTCCTCCGGGTAGGACTTCCGGAAACAGGAAGATGTGGGCAGGAGACTGTTAGCTGGGCAGCCGGGAGTCCTTCATCCAGAGCTCTGAGCCCAGCTGTCAGGGGCTCCCCAGGGCAGCTGCCATGACCCTGACCTTCATCCCTGTGTCATGACTGCCTGTGCTGTCCCTTTATTTCCTATCCGGATCTCCCAGGAGGTTACAAGTACCACTTAGCATCGTCAGAACTCAGTGCCACCTGCCGCATCCTGCACTGCACAGTTTGTAGGAACTTAATAAATACATGTTGATTGATTGGCAGTCTCGAAGATGAAGTCTGGCTGTATTTATAGCATCTGTTGTATGTACGTATTGACTGCTGGGAGATACAACACTTATAGAAATATTGTACTCGCTGTATTGAAATCATGTAATTCAAAGAGTTTAAGTTCTCAGAGGCAAGCCAAACACATAGGAACATTCTAACTATTACCGACAGTGAGAGCGGCAACCAACAAGACAATAAAATGTCAGGCGACATGGCGGGAGACAGGAGAGGTGGGTGGGGAGGGAAACCCTGATTCTCTGCTCAATGCCACCCTTCCTCACCTGCGTCTCGGTGGCCAAGTGGATGCCACAGAACTGGAGAGCCAGCAGAGGACAGCCGCGAGGGCCGCTGGGCAGCTTCCTTCCTCTCTAGCAACCGAGAGAGTCATCTATGGTTTCCGGACCGCACTGCATGATTTCTCTCCTCTTCATCTTGGCTCAGCTAGTCCCAGCCGGGAGCACCTTCCTCCCCACTTCCTCCAGCTGAGGAACACCTACGCCTCTTTAAAACTCAAACCGTCAAATGCTGTCCCGTCTGTGAAGACTTTCTGGACACTTCCCTCTGGGCAGACTGGATGCCGCCACCCCGTGTCCCACACGGAACCCCGCACATCCTTCGGTTCTAGCACCGATTGTCCTCAGACCATGTACGCACGTACTCGATTGCGTATCTGACTTCCCCACGAACCCGCCAGAATGCAGGCTTCCTGAGGGCAGAGGTCACACTGTATCCCCATTGCCGGCACAGTCCCTGGCATGTGGTAGATGCCAGCTGGAAGAAAGGGTGGGGCAGGAGGGGGCACCGTGGGGCAGACGAGGGGACGCGAAGGTGGGTTTTCTGAGTGTGCCAGCTTGGAGGCGAGAAACACGTTCGCTTCGCTTACGCTGCTCTGCTCTACGCTTTCATATATAAGGATGAGCTGACATTACCAGGCAGGGGCAAGGGGTGTGACTTCTTTCACGTCGTACAGTGAGTGGCAGAGAGTAAGAATCAAAGCCTAGATTCCAGGCTACTCTCTAAGGTTCGCCAACTGGATATGACTTGTATTTGGCATAGGAGGCAGACGGCGGAATAGAGAGTGGGAAATCCCACTCGATGGCCCCCATCATGGCTGCCCCTGACCCCAAAGCCTGTGTGTGAGGGAAGACTGCGGACTGCGGGCCGCCCTCCCAGTGCCCACCCGCACTGGGTGTCTAGACGGGTCATTCGGCCCTTCTGGCCCTCAATTCCCTGGAAGGCAAACTGGTGGCACAGAGGAGGCCTTTGAGAACTGTTGGTCCCCAGCCTTTTCTCTTCCTCCAGAGAATTCTCTAAGCCAAGCTACAGCCCCACTCCTGGCCCCACTGTCCCTGACCCTCTGCCTCTTCCCTCCCCATAGCCTGCCGCTGCGTTTTTGGGTCAACATGATCAAGAACCCGCAGTTCGTGTTTGACATCCACAAAAGCAGCATCACGGATGCCTGCCTCTCGGTGGTGGCCCAGACCTTCATGGACTCCTGCTCCACGTCGGAGCATCGGCTGGGCAAAGACTCCCCCTCCAACAAGCTGCTCTACGCCAAGGACATTCCCAGCTACAAGAACTGGGTGGAGAGGTGAGTGCCGGGCCAAGCCACCAAGGCAGACCCCTCGCCGCAGGCTGCAGCTCCCCTTGACTAAGGGTCCCCCCCACCCCCACTCCCGCCTCCCAAATCGGCTGGGACTTACATCCGGGTCATTTGCAATGCCCGCTCCTGCAATCGCAACACCCACAGCCCCACGAACCCTGAAACAAAAACTGGGAAACTTGGCTAGAAGTCGCCACTGAGCTTTGCTTTCCCACGTGAGCGGCTCAGATCTTGGCGGCTGAAATTCTCTCTGGGCCCAAGAAGGAAATACAGTGTGAGAGCCCTGCTCTAATCCCCACTGAAAAGAAAAAGAGGGAAAAAAGACCGAGGGACAGCACCACTAGTGGAGGCTGGAGGCCTTTTCCCATCGGCCCTGTCCATCTGGCGGTCCTCCCTGCTGCCTCCCGTGGGGATGTCATTGTCACCCTGAACAGCTTCTCACTCTCCCAGTCCCTTGACTCTCACACGGGGAGCCCTTGATGCCCCGGGCCTTGCAGTGCGTTCTCAGCCCCAGTGGCCCTGATCTAAGCACAGTGTCATGCAGCACACCTGTGCCTGGAGGGCCACCTGTCTGCTGTAGGGTTGGGTTGTCTTGGTGCAAAGCTAACTCCCGTCAAAGAACAGTTATGGTTTGTCTGGGCCACAGCGGTTCCTTATGCCAAGCACCTGAGCTAAGCAGGCAGATGACGCTGTATTTATTCATTCGTGACACTAGCCCGGAATATAAGAGGACAGAATTTATCACCGCATGTTGTGCCCGGGAAGGTGAAGAAATACACATACACAATGGCTAAGTAATGAGCCCAAGATGACGTAAGCGGCCAAGATGAAAGGCAGATCCCCAAATTCAGTCGACTCCCAAATCTCTTTTCTACTATTTATGATACTTTTAGGACCTCTGCCAACCCACACGTTGTCTCTGTGTGGACTAAGGGAAGTCCACCTTCCTGTGAGAGGAGACGGCCCCACCCTAGGGTGCATGGCGTTCTGAGAGACGGGCTGGTCGTCGGCCCCAGCACACCCTGCCGGCACAACCCGACATGGCAGTCCTGATTTTAGAGTCCCTTCCCCCTTTTTCCAAGTAGCTTAAAGATGGGAAACCCGGCTGGAAGCTCAGATTGGTGACTTTTTAAAGAGTAGAAGAGACCGGAAATTGCTCTTGACTTGGCGACCAGAGACAAAAAGAACAGTGTTGTTTCACTCACGGCAGAGTCTCCATCTTTATTCCTAAAAATCGCCTTCTCCTGTGCAGAGGACATAACTGAGAGGGGGCGGGGTCTTGGCCACCTCAGTGACACGGTTCTCCTGAAAGGGCTGAGTTTTCTTTTCCTTCTCCCCTCTGTTCTTAGATACTCACCTCGCCCCTTCTTGCTAATGCATGTGGTGGGCACGCAGCCTGGGCTGCCAGAGAGAGCTTACTCTTTTGTCCTTGTATCTGATGGTGTCTGAGCCACCAAAAGAAGCTCTTACCTCCGTCTGCGTGGACAGTGGCTCATTCTTCTGACAGGAGAGCTGCCAGGAGCGGGCCCACCTATGTGGTCAGCTGCCTCTTTGACAAAGCAAGAGAGAGAAGGAGGCAGAAGCTGGGTTCTTGGTTATCCCTGCACCAACGCGCGGTCCCTGTGACAGGACTTCAGGCGGGGAGGCAGGGAGCAGAGATGCAAAAGGCTGGAGCGTTTATGAAACATCTGCATGGAGGACACTCCCCGGCACACGACCAGTGAGCGGGAGATCGGAATAATGCGTGCGCCAGGCTAATGGGCTCCCTCTGACTTGGTGCTGAATGAGATGTGCGCCATGCAGCTGCTACGGGTCACCAGTAACCCTGGTCCCTGAGGCTATTTTTAGGAGTGGTCTGATGGTTTCCATTGCTTATCCCACCAGTTTCTTAGCAACCAGTGGCACTCTCAGGAAAGTCATCTTTCTCTTGCTTGAGGTCCCAGATCCCTTCTTCTCTCATTCTGGGATGAGGGTACAAAGATGGAGAGATGGGGAATCCATGGGGACAGGTCTAGAGATAAGGCCAGAGTGCTTCCTCCTCGGTGATAAATGTATCAATTCCACTCTCACTCTCCGGGAGACTGGCCTCGGAGCTTGTCTGGATCCCTGAATGGGAAAGTGAGTCCAGAAATGCAGAACGAACTCAGGATCCATACAAGTCTGGTCTTCCGCCTCAGGGCCCTGGCAGCCTCTAGTTCAGAAAAATGATGGCAGAACATACTACTCTTGCGCCCAGGGCTTGCCCACCTCTGGATTCGCTTGCACAGGACTCAGGCTTAGTGACTCACTGTGGTAGAGTGCACCCCACACACCTTCAAGGAGACCTTCTGTCCCCTCACAGCTAGGAAACAGGGTTTACCCTGGCTGGCCCTCTCTATAAAGCGGGTAGGAAGCATATGGATTCAGGGGGTCTCATAACTCTGTGGCTTGAACAGCCTACATGGTTCTATACCAACCTATGATGGTTTGTATCTTCTAGAAGTTCTTCATCTACCCTTCCCCTCACCTGTCCTCCCGCCCATCCTCCCATCTCATTCCTGCCTCCAAATTCCTTGCAGTGCTGGTAGCTGGTGGACCCACTGCAGACTTCCCCGTCTTCGCTGCCCCCACTTAAGTGTTAGGGCTTTTCCTCGTGGCCACATCTAGAGCAGGGGAGAAGAGCCTCTTGGTTTCCCAGGAGCAACCACCTGCTACACTCACCTTACAGAGCAGAACTCAGCAGTGCGGTCACCACGAACCGGTGTGTCGTGATCAAGTGGTAATTTCTAGTCCATTTCCAGTGGCAGTAAAATGTTCACGCTGGGTGATGGTTTCCTCTCATTTTAAATCAGAAGAGCTTGGGCGATGTCCTTGTGACAGCAGTAGCGTCGTTCACTTCAATCCTAGGCTCGTCACGCAGGACTGAGTTCAGTGGTGTCGCAGTTGGCCCGCTGGAGACTGGACTAGGAGGACACCACAGGTGTGAATGCCATCGACCACATGCGTCACCGCGTGAAAAAGGCTAAGAATTTTCCACTTTTAAATATGCTTCCTAAGGAAACCATCTATTCAAAATATAAAGCTGGGACAGTTCACCCCAGGAGCAATACTGGAGGTGACGTACAGAGATTTCATTAACTTGTTCCTTAAATCCTGGGTCGAACATTCATGGTATTCGTCATGGGTACACTGGGCACTTGGGATAGACCTGATCACTTAGACTTGACCTTTCCCTGTGGCTCTCATGAGGAAGGAGGCCATACAGACAGGCACTCAGCAAGCCCCATGAGCCAGAACAGTGGGGCACTCGGGGTGAGGTCAGTGAATAATTCACAGAGGAAGAGACATTAGTGCAGGGCCTTGAACAGCAAGTATCTTGGGACATCAGAGCATCGGGTTCCAAATGTCTTTCATGTCTGCTATTTGTCCTTGAAACGTTTGAAGGATGGCATCACTTTGTCCTTCTCTAAGAGTTCAGGATATTGGAGGCCACCTTCCCAACCACTAGAGCCATCCTAAAGGCAGAGACGACACACCCACCCTCCTACACGGGGCCTGCCCCACGAAAGCCCACAAATGTAAAAATTGCAGACTGTTCAAAAGTGGAGAACCAGCTCTCTGGGGCCCCTCCCTTTCTAGCAGCTCCCTGAGGCCTCATGTTGGGACCACAAGGGTACAGGCATCCACCAGGTATGAGCAAATGCAGCAAAGAAAGCTGGGCAAGGCCCAGTGGTGGGGCCTGGACCTCAGTAGGCTGGGCCTTGGCCATCCTGCCAGCCTGGCAGGCCCCAGCCAGCTTGAGGGGTGCTCTGGGGACTCTTCTGAAGAAGGACTCACCTGTAGGCAGAAACCCCATAGGAGCAATTTCAAGTACAGGGGCCTGGGCTGATCTTTCCCTCCCTCACTGTACAGCCAGCTAATAACACTTGTTCGAAGTTTATTAATGGGGCATAATTGCATTCTTCATAATCAATAAGGCTTCTCAGTGGCCGGGCCCAACACAAAGGCCAGCCAGGCAGGAGCTAAGAAGAAAGCGATTGTGCACACAGCAGAGAGGTGCCAGGGCAGGGTCATTATTAGGTTCAGGGGGTGCTGGCAAGGCGGTGGGGTTGGGCAGAGCCCTGGAGGGGAGCGGGGAGAGGTCAAGGTAGGGTCGACAAAGCCCTACAAGGTAGATGGACCCACTTAGCACCCGGCGAGGCTGGGATGAGAATGGGCCAGAACGTCAGCCCCACACTTATCCAGGGCGCCGTGCTGTCCATGGCCACCCAGCTCAGTGATTTAGAGCTTGCTGGAGATGAAGACGTGGTCGATCCACTTGTGGGCTTGTAAGTGGCCAGAGACACTCGCTGGTCTGACCAGCAGCCTCTGCACAGATGAGAGATGGTACTTGGGCAATGAGACCCTGACCTCACTGTTGGAGAGAATACGCAAAGCTTGGCCGGGCCTGCCGCCACCCCTTACTCCAGATGAGAAGAGTAGAGCCCCCACCCTCTCCCCACTCCACTCTCAACCCCGCCCACCCACCTCTCTCTGCCTCACACACAAACACACTTTCTGAACATTCTCCCGGGAGAAATGGACTGGGCTTTGAGTGCACTACGAGGCAAGCCGTTGCAAAGGGACAGAGTGTAGGCATCTGCTATTTCCGGTGGAGACAGCGGTCCCTAACCTGGGCTCTCATGCACCTCGGGGACCAGAGAGGCAGCAGCAGGGGCTCTGGTGCTGTTTGCAAAAAGCCTGACCGAACCATCCATCCACCTACAAAAGATTCACAGGCAGATAACAGAAACGGCAGGAATCTTTGCTTCTGGTGACAGTCATGTCCTATCAGGGGGACCTGGTTTTTCATCCTAGTCCGTCGCTGTGACTGTCCACGGGTGGCAGAGGGAGGGAGGTCTGGACCCAGCCGCGTCAGCAGAGGCGCGTCTGGCTGCTCGCCATGGAATAGGAGTGACAGAAAGCCTTTGTCTGTGTTTTTCACCAATCCGACTTGAGAACATAACCCTTCACCTGGCAAACATATTTTGCTTGGTAGGCATGGAATCCACGAGGGACGATGACACAAATCCCTTGGGAGTAGTGGCCAGGTTGGGAGCCACCGCTGAAACCCTTGGGTCTCTGCTATAAAATGGAACAATGGCGTTTATTGTGTACCGGAAATAGTGGCAATGAATCGAGTCTCTGGATGCAACTTTTATACCTGGAATCTCATTAAATTACCCAGAACCCCAAGGAACTTGAGATGTCTCTGGGCGGGCTGCAGGCCTGGAAGAGCAGGCTCTTCCTGGATGGAGCAAAGGAACCAAAATGAAATAAGACAAGGAACGGAGGCCTGAGCAGAGGGGCCCAGAGCAGAAAAGCTCACACTAGAGAAGAGCGGAAGTCCAGCTGAGAAGGCAGGATGGCCTCGCCTTAGCCCCTGGGCCCCTCTGAGAAAGGCCGTTTTGTTAAGTTCTTATCCTTGTGCCTATCTCGATCAATCGCATGTCACAGGCAGAGAGACCTCCCGCCAAAATGCAATCAGTTCAGCAAAGCGGTCGGCAGTGTGTCTGTGTGACAGGTTCCCGAGGGGTGGAGCTCTCAGACCAGCCCCTCCCCCTGCCGGAGGGCACAGACCTCACCTCCTTCCCCTTCCTCGTTTTCCAGATAGAACTAGGTCTGAAATCACAGTAAGGCTGAGACTCAGAGCCAGCCATCCAGCCCTCAGAGGCCCAGGAACGCTCTGGTGGCAAATTGAACTGTCATCTCATTGTGGGCCCCTGAGTGTGATGGCTGGGGTAACACAGGAGTGCCACCTCTGCCAGCCTGTCACCCAGCTCCTGGTCAGCAGTGGGAAGAGGTGGAGGTGGGAGACCAGGCACAGGACAGATCGATTCCTGGTCTGTGCAGTGAGGGATGTGGTCTGGGAGAGACACAGGGCCAGGGGCCAGGGTGAGGCTGTCCTGGAGCCTCTGAGAATGCCCCTTATACTCACCCGATCAAGCCTTGAGTTATGGGAACTCCCAGGGCCTGTCACAGTTGCCTGCACTGACTCAGGTGAGAGTGAGTGCCTCTCCTAAAACTTTGTGCCCCAGATGCTTCACTGGCCTCACCCCAGTCCCTGGCCTGGCGACTGTCCCCACTCTCTCCTCTATTCTAGGTTCTCAGGTTTGCTTTTCTCCAGCACTGAAGCCGCAGGCATTCAGGGTGGGCTAAGCCGGGGTTGTGCAAGGACTTCTGGGTGTGCTGTCCCAGGGTCCCGCCGCCTCCCTGCCTTTGCGGGCACCCGGTCCCTTTTAGGTGTAGCCCACACCCAGAAAGTGCCTGGGAGAAGGTGGGTCGTGGCTGTCTTTGGGGCACTGGGGACCTTCAGTTCCTCATTAGAAACTGCACAGCTCCTCTCTGGTGGAAGGATTGGGTTTGCTACATAAAATGTCAAGTCGCACAAATTAAAAATGTAAATGCTGGCATCTAATTAACCAGTTGACAGCAGTGCACAGCTGCAAGTGACAGTGACTGATTGCCTTCTGCCAGCCTCTCTCCCCAGGCAGCCCCAGCTCCTCCCAGTTAACCCCAGAGAGGGGAAGACATCAAGGCAGGGCAACTGCTTGGAAGAGCCTTTGGGCCCTATGGAGGGGACCTCTTACGTCCATGGGCGGGGGTGTTAGAGGGACACCAGAGAATGACTGGCCCACGCTTGCAGCTGGGAGCAGAGCCGTTGCAAGAGACAATCCCTCCTCACTCCTGGTCCACCCGCATCCACCCTCTGACAATGTCTAGGCCACTCCCACATCCCCTTCCACTGTGCCGCAAAGGGCTCTTCCTGGGCCAGACCCAGAAGCCCAGATGGGAGAACGCTCATCATGGTCCCCACGGGGCCACACACAGGCACCTGCCGGCCCCAGACACAGTGCTGGCAGTGTCCCCCTCTCTCCTCCATGTGCGTGGCCCCAACCCCTTTCCTCCTCACCCCCATCTCTCGGCAGGTATTACTCAGACATTGGGAAGATGCCGGCCATCAGCGACCAGGACATGAACGCGTACCTGGCCGAGCAGTCCCGGATGCACATGAACGAGTTCAACACCATGAGCGCGCTCTCGGAGACCTTCTCCTACGTGGGCAAGTACAGCGAGGAGGTGAGCCCCGCCCTGCTGCCGGGGCTGCGAAGTCGCTGCCCGGAGCCACCTCCGTGCCCAAGCCACCGCCCCGACGCCCCCTCCCTCCGCTGGGAGACTGCCACCCAGGACTTGGGGCTGTGCCCCCAAACACGGGGACACTGGAAACGTCCACTCTATACATCCTACATTAATCCTGGTCTTTTCAGACTTAGAGATCAAGTGTCTTTCTTTCTTTCATTTTTTTTTTCTCTTTTTATTCCTTTTCCTTCCCCTGCTATTCCCTCTCTTTTGTTTATTTATTCATTTTTTTTCATTTTTTTCTTCTCTGATCTAACTTTCTTTAAACAAACAATTCCCCACTTCCGTGGGCAGGCCACGCAGTATGGTACGGAGTAGATACCGAACAGAGTAGAACGGAATCTGTTTTCACTTGCCGCCTTCCCCCGGTCGGAAAACCTCGCCTGGGGTCATTGCCGCTGCAGACTGGCCTTCTTTCTGCCCAGTACGAAGGGGCTTATGGGAGTTTTCCTCACTGGCTTAGACCAAGTGGGTTCAGAACCAGGCTCCCTGTGTCTGAGCAGCAGCATGACCACCCTCTCTATGCCCTGGCGTCATCACCGAGACAGGTCTAGGAGCTCCAGGTTAAGGAAGGAGCCCCAGCAGGGGCCAGGGCCTGGTGTCCCTCGGAATGCTGTGAACCTCACATAAAGGGAAGCCAGAGGTGGGTCCCTCGGGGAGGGACACTGATGCCAGCCCTCAGGCCAGGGTTGGCCCTGGGCAAAGTTTTCACCTGTTCGTGGCCACATGAGAGAAGCCTGGATGATGGAGAGTGTGCTAGTTTTCGAGTGCGACTGTCTCATCTTGGAAAGGACAGTCCCTAGAGTACAAGTTCACTCATCTACTCTTGGTACTAAAAATGTCCCATCTTTGTGAAACATCGGTGCCAGGAACTGGTGGCCCTTGGCCAGCTAAGAGTCTGGTGACTCCATCGTGGTCTCCCCGATTAAAAATACACTAACCGGGACAGGAAGTCCAAGGCTCCAGGAGCCCTCGGAAAAAAACTCCTCCCACCCCAGGCTGCTCTCTGCCCCCTCGGACCCCAGCCCCAGCAGAGTCCACCCCGTTTGCCGCCTGACCTCGTGGAGCAGGTGCAGTGTGAAGGGCGCTCAGCGTATGTGCGTTACCTGACTTCACCCTCTCCCCGAGAGCAGCCCGGGAAGTGGGCAGGTGGGGGCCAGTCGTTCCCACATTTTACAGATGAGGAAATGAGGGTGCAGACAGGCTACACGTTTTACTCTCAAGTTGCCCAGCAAGAAACTGGCGGGCCCCTTATTCAATCCCACGTCTCCTGCATCTGAGTCGAATTCCAACACATTTTCCTTCACATGCCACAGATGTGCACCGTCACTGTCCTCCGCTGACCATCTGACCCCAGAAAAGGCTTTGGCAGACGTAGATGTTAATGACCAGTAAAACTTAAGCTGTATGAAGATTTCAGGGATGTTTGTTTCCAAACAGACAAAGCGAAGCCATATTAGTTTGTAGACGTGGACTCTTGGGCCTCGGGGGCTGACGGGGAAGATCATCCTTTTTGGAAGAAGGGGTGGCATTTCTTAATATTCGTGAAATCACATTCCCCCAAGACACAGCTTCCCACTTGACGCCGGGACTAGAACTGTCTGCAGTGTGACATCTTTGTGCAGTCTTACGTGGCAGCCACACATTTATTCGGACAGGCCGATGTGTGTGCTGACATCTGTGCTCGTGGACACACGGGCACCCACATGTCGCACCCCAGGCCAAGTGCCCTCCACGCCTCCCCATCCCGGTGACCAGGCTGCCTGCTCACCCAGCGGCTTCGTGTGTGCATGTGCACGTGCACGCGCACACGCCTTCCTCCTGCCTGCGTGTACCCTGAGAACACAGACGTGCACGTGCAAACTAGTAACCTCCCCATTCTTGGCCCTTCAACAGATTCTCGGACCTCTGGACCACGACGACCAGTGTGGGAAGCAGAAATTGGCCTACAAACTAGAACAAGTCATAACCCTCATGAGCTTAGACAGCTGAGAACCATCCTTCCAGGCCCGCCCCCCGGAGGGAGGGACACACCAAGCCGTGCCTCAGTCTAGATTATCATCTTTACCAAGTGCAAGTTCCGACTGGCGTAAGCAGCATCCCCTGAGCAGCGCTGCCCCCACCCCGTCTCTCTCTCTCTCTCTCTCTCTCTCTCTCTCTCCACCCCCTCTTGCTGTCTCTCCTTCCTTCCTCGATCCCTTCTCTTTCAGTTGCTCTGTCAACACCATTGAACCAAGCCACCAACCCTCAGCTAGTCTAGGATGGCCGGGCCCCCAGCAAGGGACCTGACCAGAAGGTTCCAGAGGGGGCTCTCTTCCCACGTTGACCCCGCCTATCAGCAACAGGACAAATACGGATGAGGAGCCATGGACAGAGGATGTTTGTTTCTATGCTGCTACTTCACTTCACACATCATGAGAGCCCCCACGTTGGTCCAAACCTTGGCCTGGAGAAGAGGCGAGGAGCTCAGTATTATTATCTTTGCTGGGAAGGCATCACCTGGCTCTCCCTTCTTCCCTCATTTCCATCTCCAAGGGGTCGGTGGGTGGTACGGTCGCTTTGCAGCTATGAGAAGAAAGGCCACGCCTCCTGCATACGGCTGGACTCGGGGGCAGGGGTGAGGAGTTGGGCGGTGCTCGGCGAGCTGCCTCTCACTTGCTGGCTTGGCATCCTGAGGCCTCCTTGTCCCCTTCCAATCTTCCTGGAGCTCTTCCAAGTGCCCACAAGGACATGCCTGCCCAGTCTCGTGCCCTGCCTGTGGAAAGCCAGACAGGAGAAAGAATAGCAGTTACTTCCACCATGGAGACAGTCTTAACCTTCTAATCTGGCTCTTGGCGGTGAAAATATAAGATGGAGAGAGAGAAGAGGAGCATCTGTCTATCCTGAAAGTAGAATGTGTTGTTTTCCATTAGCCCCCAAGTGCACGTGAATCACGACCACAGTCAGAGGTGTAACCCCCTGCCAGACCCTCGTGTGCTGTCTAGAGAAAACACCGCCATCCTCCTTGGTCATCTCTCATCAAGGCTCAGCATCGAATGCAGAGCGCATCCAGGCATCCAGGGGATTCTACCTCTAGCCATCTCCACGGCTCCATCCCCACCGTCCTTCCTGAGAACTCTGTTCAAGGCTGGGGCACACAGCCTGGCCTCTCCTCCCCTCGCAGAATCTGGTGCCATTGCTATGCAGATGACTTTGTCGCTGAACTGCCCAGACCTCCTAGGGAGTTATTTCATCGACATCTCAGCTTTCTTTTTCTGTCATTCTCCTCCCTCATCTCTTCAGCGGTCATCACTGAAAGAAATGCACTCAAGTACAGCCCCACAGAGACAAGCCGAAATGCCAGCCAGACTCAGCCCCCAGCGTGTCATGTCCGGGAGGGCTGAGGGGTCAAGCTGAAGGACATGGCCAGAGATGGGAGGTGAGACAAACAACGGATCTCCCCTGGCATATGTCTCTCCATCTGTCCTTCCATCTACGGACACATTCTAGCCATCCACGTAGAGGTGTGTACAGACATGGGTCCTAGGTGAGCGGGGGCTGTAGTGAGAGACGGTCTAATGAGGGTCATGGAGACCTGGAATCCTGAAGGGATTAGATGCCGTCTGGTCCAGTCTCCCACCATAAGCAAAAATATCTTCTGGCAGCCCTGGGGTCAAGTTCTACATGGCTCTGGGAGACAAGAAGCATCCGTTAAAGTGGGATTGGGATGAGTTTTGCCTTCACACCCCCAGCACCAGACATCATTCCCTGCAGCCACTCGAAGGAGCCCCACTTGGAGAGGGGACGGAACCACACCATTTCCAGCAGAGTCTGTGGAGCATCCTGTGCTTTTAGGAACGCTTGCCCCGTTGGATATGACTGTGTGTGTGGGTGTGGGTGTGTGGGTGTGTGTTCGCCCCAGGAGTAGGCGGAGAGCTTAGAAAGATTCCTTTTTCTATGTGGGGGGGTTCTGAGTGTTTCCCTTCTCTGCCCCTGCTCATCAGTTCATTCTGCAGCTCCGGAACATTTCAACACCTGCTTTCTACACTGAGTGCTGGTGGGTGGAAGGAGAGCTCACCTGTAGGAAATCAGGGTGGTCACTGGCCAAGTCACTGGACTTGACCGGAGGCCAGGCAGTGATGGCCCAGAGCAGGGCATCACGTGGTATCGAGGAGGACATATGGTGGACAAGATGCAAGTCACCTAACCAACAGAGAGTGGTTTCTCCCTAATCGATGGGAGAACATGCATATGGAGGGGGAAAGGATAACCAAAGTTTGGGCAAAGGAAGTGCCAGGTGAAGAAGCATGGAATTTCTACCCCTGATCGCTTGATTTTCCTCCCCAGAATCGAGGGGCCCTGGCAGACGAGGAAGGAAGCATGTGGGAAATGGGCGAAGGCGGCAGCGCAGACACAGACAGCTTTGCACATGTGAAAGGTTGCAGAGGAGAGAGACACAAGCATATTTAACACAGACTTAACCGGATGAGCGCTGTGTGCGTGTGAGCGTGTGCATGACTGAGTGTGTTCTGATTTATTTTTTAAGTTTTGCACAGATAGAGAAAAAATGTGAACCAGCAGAGAAAAAAAAACTCATGGTTCCGCTGAAGCTCTTATTTTTACTGGATTATTATTACTGTCACTGTTCCTTTGCCGGTGCGGGACTTTTTCCTCCATGTTTTTGCTGTGAGAGAAACTCTGAACACCTCAGAGAAACGTAAATGTCAGGAAGAGAGGGGAGAGAAGGACGGACAGATTTCCTTGCTCTCCTCATTTCTCCCGAGGGAGGAGTCTGAGCAGATTTTACTTTAATTGGTGGGCTGGGTTGTTGCTGGTGCTTTGTTTGCTTGAAGTCTCTGTGGCCTACTTGGGGCCGGAGAAATAAGACAGTCAGTCACGCAGAGCCACAACCCATCTTGCCCGTAAAAATTCTTTCCCTTTGCCGTTTGTTTATTTTCCATTCCTTTCATTTGGATTCTTGATGCACATGTGATATGTTTCAAAGTAAAGACAGGGCAGCGCTGTCAAGAGCTGTCCTTTTCCCCAAGTCTTCCTTCCAAAACGCCCCCGCGGAATCCCCGATGTCCCCTTGGCAAGCCAGAGAGCTGTCCGGTGGCAAAGGGGGCCGGCATGTGCCAGAGGATGGATGGGGCACACTCGGTCCAGGGCAACGGGGCCCCCTCAAGGCTTTCTCCTCTCTGTCACAATTCATTGGCAGGGTCACAGTTCTGTTTAAGGCAGAAACTTTATCTGATTCCTTGAGTCCTGGGCAGAGAGCAGGGAAGAAAAGGCCACCCTCTCCTCACCTCCCCCCACGCCCCCCTCCCAGGAGGCCACCAAGATCAGAATGGTACCAGAAAGTGATGTCGTCAAAATAACCAGCCTAAGTTAGGTGGGGGGTTTAAATGGGAAGGAGATGGGCTGAGGGCTGGGAGGGGTGGGGAGTGGAGAGAGATTCGTGGGGTCCTGAACAGAAAAGAATGGGTAAATAGAAGCTGAGAAAGATAGCTGCAGGCTGGCCTTTTCTCCTGGGGGGTCCCAAGTGTCCCCAGGTGTGGGCTTGGCCCCTCTTTGTTCTTCCTCGTATGGAGAGACCCTGACCTTTGTTGGTAACTACAAATAGTGCCATTAAGTGAAGTTGGCTATTGTGTCAGTAACTTCCTCAGGAAAATCTTTTTTCTTGCCTTCTTCTTTCGATGTGGTTTTAAGTTTGGGGACCAGGTGAGTGTCCCACAGGCCAAGGTACGTTCACACCCCCAGAATGACACGCACACCCATAGGCAACCCCCCCAGAGTCTCCCTCTTAGGACCCTGCGGGCCAGTGAGTGAGGCCCGAGATGCTTGAGAGAGAGAAGTCATTTCAAATAAATCCTAAAATTTGAGGCAGACTGTCCAGGACCATGCCCGGGCCGACGCGGGAGTTGTTGTCAGGCGAGGTCTCCGACCTCGTCCCCCAGCTCTGACCGCCCAGCCTGGGGTTAATGTCCGTGTCCTACCCCAGAACTCCACCATCCTCGCTGCCGCCCCCCTCGCATGTCTGGCTTCTAAGTGTGCTACCCCTTGTCTCTCTTGCCTGCCTTCTGCACGTGTAGCCTCTGCCCCAATGCCATATGTCCCCTAAAGCACCGGAGCCGCTGAGCCCCTCTGTGGGCAGCTCCGCCCTCACCGTCTAGCCCTCTGGGACTGCTTGGCCCGTCCCGCCCTCCCCAGGCTACCTCCCTGCAGACTAGGGCTCCGTCACCCAGCCGAGGCCTTGTGGGACCCGTCGGAGGAACCGCAGCAATGACTCCCTGAACGGCCTCCACCCTAGGTCAGAGGCAAGTCCTGCTGATGTTTCTGGAACCCTAAACAATCACTCGCTTTGACCTAAAAGGAAAGCCCCGTTACCCACCTGTCTCCTTTCTCAGGACTGAAGGGGACACTTCCAATGGCTTCACAGGAGGCAAAGTCAGATACTTATTAATCGAGAACAAACGTCCCGGTCTCAGAGAGCCAAGGAGGGAGGGAGGGAGGCGCTCTGCAGCCAGAAGGCCGGTG